GTAACGGTCGTACATACAAACAAGCAGAATAATAGTACAGAAGATAGTTCGCAAATAAGAAAAAGTATCAATAATTAAAAGCGATATCTTATTTGATTACCAAGCAGTTCTTTGAAGCAAACGTACATAAATATAATTAGTTTTAAAACCAAGTCTACTCAACCCTTTCACTCCAGGTTAAGAACTTAAAATATTTCATTTATTTTTTAACATTCGATTTTACTCACCTAACTTAACTTGTTACTGATTCCCTTTCTTTACCATTCGTCCCTCACTTTTCGACCCACTAATGTTAATAATATATATAATATTGTTACTGCTCAAGAACTTCTATAAAAGCTACAATGGTGATATGTATTATTAAAAAAAACACGATTGATGCGATGGTTCTTGTTAGTTTTAGAGCAAAGCCATATTGGGCTATCTGCTTTGTACACCGAGGAGAATCGAGCCCCGGATTTTAGCGTTGTAAGTCTGTAGACTTACCACTTTCCCACAAGGAAACTGATCCGATAAGACGTAATATTAAAAAATTAAAACCTCGGGGGCTTGTTGACGATCATCATTACCACTCAGCTCCTGCACCAGAAGTATGTAGTACGGTTACCATAATTTCTTTACTGTTATCATTTTTACCAAACCCAATACCTACATTAAACAAACAGCCCAAATTATATGTGCTTACAAACGCCAAGTTATTAACCATCTTAAATAGCATCAAATCATATGTGCTTACAAACGCCAAGTTATTAACCATCTTAAATAGCATCAAATCATATGTGCTTACAAACGCCAAGTTATTAACCACCTTAAATAGCATCAAATCATATATACTTACAAACCCCAAGCTATTAACCATCTTTGATTTTTCAAAGACCGTATACAAATAGTTACATAGCTATTATCGTTCACGTAATCGGGGATTAAACCTTGTAAAATAACTACTGAAAAAGACACTAGCGATGAAAAATAGCAGAACAAAAACCAATTTAAGGTGCAGAGAGACAACTAAAAATAAAAAAAATAATAAATTACATACCAAGAAACCTGACTAGTCTCTGTTCTTTTCCAACTTGTCTATAAAAAAAAGGGACGATCCAGCTACCGAGATACATCTGAAGTTAAGATTCGGAGTACCATGTCCTAAAAGGAAAGAAATCATAACTGTGTCTTACCTTTTCTGAGATAAAATTGATTATTGTTATTCTGTATCAACACAGATAGTTTTTGTCTATTCTTTTATCAAGTTGTTTTGTAATAAACATTTATTGTGTGAAATGAAAAAAAAAAGAAGAAGAAGCTTAATCAACATGGTGATCCAGTACCGAAGTGAAAGAGCTGGTCAAAATTATGCTCATCACGAACCCACCTGGAATTTCTCTTGATCAAATGATATTAGCCTGCTAATTGTGATGCATCTTGTTCATTATTTTATAAAAAAACTTTTAGGTTTAGCAAAAAATAAGTATAGTATATTTTAATTGTATAAGAACTTGCTGAGAAACTGACACTCATAGCACGGAATGCCGATCTAGGAACCTACAATATCCACATTTGTAATACTCGTACAAGCTTTCAAATTTTATGCTAGCTTAGTACTCAATAAAACCAACCTAAACATTTAATATTGCTGGCATTGTAATTCCCTCACTTCAGTTAAGCCTACTTTCCAAGTTCTACCCAAGCGTTAATGTAAAATGACCCTAAACAATTTGATTGCCAAACAGTTTGAGATTTCACATATGGCGCCAATGTTTGCAATAAACGTTTGTGTAACATGTTGGGCAGTCAATAAATTAAACTTCTATAGATTTTATTTTTGACTATTTAAAACCACATTTTAAACTTTGTGATGAACTCCTAAGATTGCATTAGATGCCCATAAATATATCCCATATTAAACTGTATTTTGTATTACTTTATGAAGCTTTCATTAGTCCGTCAGATCAACGATACTTAATTTTACCCAAATTATAATCATCTTGCTCTGGGTTTGTAAAAAGGGTTTTGTGGATTTTCTTTATGAATAAATTTGTTTATTTTCATAGAGAAATATAATGCTAAGTCAGTTAAAAAGCTAAATAGCCCCAAACCTCTTTCACTGTCCACCTACGTAGGTTTTTTTTTTTTTTATTCTATTTATTTGTGTAATGCAACGTTTTAGGCATTGATAGAAAGAGCGTCTTTTTTTTTTTTTTTATAATTAAGTAATTTTTACATAGATATTTTGCAAAATATCATATTATATTTTTCTCTTTCAGTGTTTGCAGACTTACGACGCTAATAAATCGGGTTTTGATACCCATAGTGGGTAATGCACAGATAGCTCATTGTGTAATTTGACGCTTACCAACAGCCAAGCCAAGCTTTCCATGGTTTTTGTCGTAAATCGCGTGATTGGCTGCTATACTGCAAAACGCTGTACTAATTTTCACGGTTAGTTAGTTTTAGATTATAGGTAGGTCCCTACCAGCCCAAAACTAGCTTCAAACATTATTAAAAGGTAGTAGGACTCGCAACATTCTGGGTCTCGCCCCAACTTAATTTCTATGAAAGCTTAATACATTTTCACCAGTTCCTGATAGATGCTGCTAAGACAGGCTTTACATAACTTTTCGCTTTATCTCTATTGTCAGAGTTTTCTACCTTTGGGATTTTATTTAAGTTTTGCCAGTGATTTTTTTTTATTAACTGAGCTTGTTGCATGCAATATCAATAAAGACCTTACAATAACCAGTTCGCTACCATTTCGATTACCTTAAAACAACTCAGTTATTATTAGATTTTCCTAGTTTGATAGGATTTGAAAAGTGTGCAAGACTTCTTGCACATACTTATAAACACAATATGATTATTCTTAATAGTAAAAGATAAAGGTAGACGCAAGTACATACGTAATACCATACGCTATTTAATTGCAGTGTATTTAATCGGCATTTTAATCAACTTCTAGCTATTGCGTATAACATTTATACGATAAAATATTTCAACTTGTTAAAACTTGGTTACGTGTATAAGTGCCAACTGGGGGAGTAGTTTGTTTGTAATTATGCACAAAGCTACACAATGGGCTGTCTGGGCTCTGCCCACCACGGGTATCGAAACCCGGTTTCTAGCGTTGCAAGTCCGCAGATATACCGCTGTGCCACTGGTGGGCGGGGAGTAGTTAGATTATAATAATTGGTTTGGTTTGAATTTTGCGCAAAGCTACACGAGAGCTATTTGCGCTAACCGTCCCTAATTTAGCAGTGAAAGATTAGAGGGAAGGCAGCTAGTCATCACCACCCACCGCCAACTCTTGAGCTGCTCTTTTACTAACGAATAGTGGAATTCACCGTCAATTTATAACGCCCCATGGCTGAAAGGTCGAGCATGTTTGGTGAGACGAGGATTCGAACCCGCGACCCTCAATACAATAAGCGTATATAACTAGTCGAAGAACGTTATATTTAATACAATAAGCGTATATAACTAGTCGAAGAACGTTATATTTAATACAATAAGCGTATATAACTAGTCGAAGAACGTTATATTTAATACAATAAGCGTATATAACTAGTCGAAGAACGTTATATTTAATACAATAAGCGTATATAACTAGTCGAAGAACGTTATATTTAATACAATAAGCGTATATAACTAGTCGAAGAACGTTATATTTAATACAATAAGCGTATATAACTAGTCGAAGAACGTTATATTTAATACAATAAACATATATAACTAGTCGAAGAACGTTATATTTAATACAATAAACATATATAACTAGTCGAAGAACGTTATATTTAATACAATAAACATATATAACTAGTCGAAGAACGTTATATTTAATACAATAAACATATATAACTAGTCGAAGAACGTTATATTTAATACAATAAACATATATGACTAGTCGAAAAACGTTATATTTAATACAATAAACATATATAACTAGTCGAAAAACGTTATATTTAATACAATAAGCATATGTCTAGTCGTAAGAAAACTATTTGTTTGATAGTAATTAGCGGTCTCTGAACTTTCGTGATAGCTTTGTAAATTTGAAGTAATAGACTACAGGGATGGCAGCTAGTCAACATGACCTACCGTTAACTCTTGAATTACGGTTTACCAACAATAATGAGATTGACCGTAACATTATAAAACCACCAAGGTTAGAAGGCGATGGTGTTTGGTGACGGGTTTCAATCCCGCGATCTGCAGATTACGAGACGAGTGCCCTAACCACCGTGATATTCAATGCTTACACCTCTAACGTAAAATGAAACTTATCCTCCCCCTTCTACACACACACATGCAGATCGGCGGTATGGTCAAAAATTATGTTAGTCACGGATTACTGCTTATTTTCTTTTATGCTATTATACTATTTTAAGCCCGATATATATTAGAGCGAAAATTAAAAGCTCAAATTTATAAAAAATCTTATCAGCATAAAAAAAAAAAAAACTTTTCTGAGTCCAATTAATTTTACTCCTTACAAAAAATAGTTATGACGAACTGAGCCGCTAGTTTATAACTTTATACTCTCCGTTATAATGCTCCTCAGATGATTCTTAAATTCAACATATTCTTGATAGTAGCAATATTACATCCGTATAACTTTACTAGTATAGACTGGTGTAAATGTACCACAAGTATATGACCGAGTTCCAACCAATATACAGTTCTACACTTTAGGAAGAGTCTCTTCTCCCTAGCTTAGTAGGATATTTGACATATTTGGATGAAAAATTTGTTTTATTGTAGGATTATCCTTAATAACTTTAGTCCCGACAAGTTAGATACCCAATCCATACCATCAATATTCTGTTTTTGATAACCATTGAGTGGTTTTGCGCGAAATTCGAAACAAAACCACTCAAGGGTTATCTGCGTTTATTTTTAAAGTCTCCGTCTTAAAAGTACCGTTGTAAACTACCAGAAGCATGATCTGGAAATAAAGACAGCACGTTTGTTCTCAGCAAACTTGGCAAAGTTTATAAATTACTACGGATAAGTTTATCAAATTTACATACCAAATCAGTTGGATTAAATTAGTGGTTGTAAAATGAAAAAATAATTATTAAGAAAACATATATTTTGTTAATAAATAGAATATAATAATTACACATATGGAGTATAAAAGATGTACCGATCCCCCCCCCCCCCCCCATTATCTAAATATTCGATAAATTAAATATTTTTCAGCTTCGCGTTATAATTAGAAGAACTAAAAAAAAAAGAGCCCGATTTGTAATAAATTTATCTGACTAGGCTGAGCTGTATAGAAGTGAGAACCAACTAACTTAGCTGCTTAGCTAGGTATAATTATTTCAACGAGTGACGTAATATTACCAAGAGAAGCCACTCACGGAAACACTAAAGAGCTAGGATTATCACGCGATAGCCTCATAGCCCACGCCCGGCTAATGTACAACCAGACAAAATGACGCTTATTGAGAAATCAAATTAGCATCAGTGCCACAATTTCAAAAAATACGCGTAAATAACAGATGAAAAAACAGTTTGTTCATTATACTTTTCTTATATAAAAAAAGTCATTCCTAAGCTTTATTATAAAAAAAATCTATAGCTACTTAGCTTCCTAGAACATTGATTATGTAACAAGCCTCTCTACTTCCAAATTCTATCATGAATAATTGTTTTAAGCTTCACTTGCATTTCTTTAATGTTTTCCTACAGTCCGTATATCAGATAATACTTCTCAAAAAGGACCTAGATTTGGTCCTAATAAACTCCAACACCTTTGCTAGAAATTTACAGGGGGGAGGAGGGTACAATATTGAGAATCATTAATAAGTAGATCAGCTTGTGGTCATTCACAATTATCACTATTACAACAAGCACAAAACTGTAGTCTGAAGAAGAAAGTAATGAGCCTCTTTATTTTTTATTTTTTTACACCATTTACTTTGTGAGCCTAGACCAAAACCTTTTCTTCTCTTATTTTACTGTTAAAAATTTTTAATTATTTTTTAACGTAAGTTATAACCTTTATTAGCGTTGCATTCAGTTTTAGCACACCAATTTTTAAATAGACCACTTCCCAGTTTTCAACAAAAGAAATTTTAATTATATTTTCAACTTAGTTCGTACGTTTATAATATAGAATTATGATTCTAATTTTAGTTATTTTTCTATATATCAGTAGTACCACCAATAATTACAATTAATTGTTCTTTCACGCTCACAATGGGGGTGACCATATTCTATTTGCAAAACATACTCGCGCTACTCTTTCTGCTCCACTTCAGCTCCTTAGCTCAGACTACCAGAGCAGTTTGGTACAACTAACACATGTTTTTACATAATATTTTTAATCAGGAAGAAGTTAAGGATTTGGACCTGTTCGTATGACAGGCCTTCTAGTTAAGGAATGAAAAGAAAAAAAGACAACAGATCTATTACAGCTATCAATCATGAACTGACAAGTCTCAGTTAAAATACCTACCTAAGACCAGCTGGTAGAAGTCCAATTTTTCATCACTACTTCACTGGAACATGAATGGCTAGGAAAGCTGAAAAAAACGCCGATTCCAAATCTGTTACAGGAAAGCCCCAGGCTGCAAACTTTCATGTTCCCCCTCTGTCAGCTGGTGTGCGGTTGGGCACTGGGTTGCAACGGCCGACCCTCGTCCTCTGTCTAATTGGCATAACTGGCTCCGCCAACGCATTATGCAGCGCTCGCGTGAGTACCAACTGGGCATGCGTTAAGTACATCCACCGAACAACATTACACGAGCTTGCGCATTCGTATGTAACACTCAATAGGAAATGACGATCAATTATCGATCTCTCTGGAGGTAAACTACCATACGTTCTAACACAAAAATTCCTATTGCTCAAACAGAAATATTTCGGAAGTGATCTGCTAAATAAACTAGCTAGTTTTATCTTTCAGCCCTTCCAGTGAATTAAATAGTTTCTTCCATATGTATATTGAAAAAAAAAATGCGCACATATTCACCCCGTCTTTTTCTTTACACTTAAGGGGTGCCTAAGACTAAATATTTCAAAAAGGGATTTCATTCGATTCTCAAATGAAACTGCTTAATCCATTATCAATTGAGTTATTTGTAGGACAATTTATGTACAAAAAAAAAGGATAGATTAAAACAGACCTTCTTCCAAATAAAAGATACACTTTTTCTCTTATTTTTACAATAGGATAAGATTTATAATCTTGGTTAAATAATAATATCAAATATTGGGCCTTCGTTACATAAAAAAAAATGGAAAATTTAATTATTTGACTTTAATTTTATAAAAAGCGAGCGATGAGCGCTTTGGATGGTACTTTTAGGAAAGTGAATAGGAAAGACGACGTCATTTACTGAAACCTATGAAATTTATTATTAACGAGACGAATTGGTTTCGTTTCGTTCATTTTGAATTGCGCCAGCCGTCCCTAATTTAGCAGAGATTGACTAGAGGGAGGCAGCTAGTCAACACCACCCACCGACAACTCTTAGACTACTCTTTTACCAACGAATAGTGGGATTAGCCGTTTCATCATAACACCTCTACGGCTGAAAGGGCGAGCATGTTCGGTAACGGGAATTCGAACTGTCGACTATCAGCTTGCGAGTCAAACGCCTTAACTACCAGGCCATGCTAGGCCCTAGGAGATGAATAGGATATACAGAGCTCTCAGTTACACACAATGAAATATTCTATATTTCTCGCTTTATTTTCATAATCATAAATTGTATATGAACACGCATTCTATCTCTACTAATTTCAGATCTATCTTTCCTTCTCCCACAAATTACTGCCCAAGCATTAAAAACGTTTAGATGAAATACTTATTGAGAATAACACAATGTGTTGGAGGTTTTTGAAAAGTCTAAAACAGAAAGTGTAGTTAATCAATAATTATCGGATAAGGAGCATTGTCGTGCAGCAACATGTTCACACTAGAAAGTTTGTTTAGATGTATCTATTACAATCTCTCTCTAACACAATCCTGTATCTTAACACAATTACACATACATCATCCAATAGCTCCATGTGATTGTAGGGTTTCGCGTTTAGTTAATGTTAGAAAAAGACAACTTAATATTAACTTGTAAACTTATTAAGAGATTTAAAAATTGGCTTCCAAACAGTAAAATTTAGGTATATCACAATAAGTTAAATAGGTTCGTAATAGGTGTCGCTGCCTCATGCATGAGTGTATTTTGGTTTAGCGCAAAGCCACAAAATGCACTACCTGTGGCTCTGTCCACCAAGTGGATTCGAGCCCCAGATTTTAACGTTTAACTTACCGCTAACTTACTGAGGGGACCATTATGGCAAGAGGTACAAATGTGAATGCACATGTGCATGTGATTATTGTGCTTTATTAGCTATTATTTATACGTAGGTTAGACAAGTTCGTAATCACGATATAATCTCTAGCAACTAGAAGAACTTAGTATATATTTTTTTTACCAAGTAGGATCAGAATACTGAAATCGAACATTTTTTTCGGTTTGTTTTGTTTTTTGTAATCGATTACTGATTTTGGTGGTAAGTTATCAAATCCGCGATATCCTTCGATATTTTTTCAACTTAGTTGGAAAATGGGATAGTCTTACCAGACGGAAAACTGTCATATTCATCAGAATACTGAAATCGAACATTTTTTTTCGGTTTTGTTTTTGTTTTTTGTAATCGATTACTGATTTTGGTGGTAAGTTATCAAATCCGCGATATCCTTCGATATTTTTTCAACTTAGTTGGAAAATGGGATAGTCCGAACAGACGGAAAAAACTGTCATATTCATATATCTTTTTAATATGAATTCAATAACTCTGTTTGTTTAACTTATGGTGAAACAAGATTATTTGTAGTGTTTTAAATATATATATATATATACGGTAGTACTCGAAAAGAAATTAGTCAAAACAAATGGTAAAAAATATTTGCAAAACACGCATTTTTATTGTAGTAAGTGATATAGCTTTATTTAGTAAAAATTGGAAAAGATTAATATTTTTTTATTCAACGTATTTGGCTTAACTTATCCATAAGATGTATGTTAATATGTTTGTATAGCTTTTTTTTTAATTTAACATAGAAAATAAAACACTTATCATTATGCAAATCAAATAATGTTTTCTTTGCTCTACATAGCTCTGAGCCTTATCAACTTTTGTTAATTATTTTCCAAAATATGTAAGCATATTGAGGTCTGCATTATTTTTGTTCAAAATAATTTCTTCTGCCACAGTGTTGCCCCCTAGTGGCACAGCGGTATGTCTGCGAACTTACAACGATATAAACTGGGTTTCGATACCCGTGGTGGGCACAAGCCACAGTGTTGGTTTTACAGATGAGCATAGTACGGTATGTTAACACAGACGCTGCACTATATTTTAAGCTCATCTTGATTATCTACTTCACCATGATGTTTCATTTTTATATAAATTTCATCTACTGATTGTTACTTTCTCAGGAAGTAATTTTCAAGCGTTTCAATTCATCTTGAAATTCTATCCTCCATTAATTGGTTTATGGTGAAACTTTTTTTTGAGGGGATTTATATGTCAATGTTAAAATTCCATTTTCTATTTATTGTTTCACAAAAGGATTTTCCTATAATATTTTATAATGAAATTTTATTATAAGTTCACTACGTTCTCATAATGTGGGTTTTAACCATTTCTGTATTCTATTTGCTAAGGCTTTTGTAAGGATTGTCATTCATGTTGGAATTCCATTGTAAATTCTTCATTCGTTCACCAACCCTCTTGCCAAAAACTAGTCTCCAATTTTTTAAACTTCGTGTTGAATAAAATACCTAAAATCTTAACAGATAAAAGAAACAAACTGCAATTTTCTTTATAATTTGGTTGTTTGTAATTAATCACAAAACTACACAATAGGCTATCTATACTCTGCCCTCCACGAGTATCGTAACCCGGTTTCTTGGGTTGTAACTCTGCAGACATACCGCTGTGCCACTGGGGAGCATAATTTGGTTGAGCTGCAATGATAGT